GCACTAAATGGCCAAACCCTTTGGCCCCTGCTACATTCCACCAGCAAAATGCTTCTTAAGCAGAAGCATACACAAACGGCTAATAACAAATTTCAGACCACATAAGAAAGATGCTGCAAGGCCACTTAGAACGAACATTTTTTTTCCAAATCATGCAGATACCGTAGATTCCATATAAGCTAACACTTTGGCAAGAACAATTTAACTTGATAAAATGGTAAAGCTGGAATTCGTTTTGCCAGAAATAAACAGAAGTAACATGTCTTAGTCTTAAAGCATAGCGAACACCTCTTCAAAATTTCCAAACTCAATAGTAAACAGACATGGTCTACAAAAGGCATAAACATAATCTCCTAAGAGTAAAACTGGTAACAACACCCTGTCTAAGCAGTTTGAATATTCTGGGCCTTGTTAAGGATGACACCTTCATATTTGACCTGGAACCACTTCATTGCATCCTCCTTGGTAACTCTTTGATGGATTCCAACACGTGACTTGCACCTACGGCGACGTGCCACCCGGTAGCCAGGACGTTCCAAAACAACATAGAAGTCCATACCATAGATACCAGTTGAAGGGTCATACCTGTGGAACTCAAAAAATACATCATCAGATGAACTAGCACAGCAAGTAAAAAGCAGTAGCAATTAGTTTGCGCTTATCAATATAGGCCAGATCACAACATTGGCAAAAAAACTGCATAACACAAGGATGTATGCTAATCAACTGAGACATAACAAAACTGAATAGGCAAGGTCCTAATCACAACATTGGCAATTAGTTTGCTCCATACTTGCTATAAGGCCTATATTGCAGTTGAATAGAGAATGAAAGCTGATAGGGAAAAGCTACACTTCAACAGACCACAATGCTATTGGAACACATGAGCTGTTTAACACATTCAAACTTTATTAGCTGCAGATCTATAATTCATTCGACAGCCATAAAAGACTGGCTAATACAATTCACAGGTTCATAATGAATTAAAATTGACATACTTAGCCTAAGAAGATATCCTGCAGCAAACTCACTAAATGAGGACCATAGCATAATTTCAGCAAGCGTAGAACACCAGAAACTCATAGGAATAAACTAAATGGTCAGAACAGATCAGCTTACTTAATTCCAAGATCAATGTGCTCTTGAATACCGAAGCCAAAGCAGCCAGTCTCACTAAAGTTTCTCTTGAGAAGCTCATATTCCTTGACCTTCAACCCACTCTCAAGGAGTTGCATTGCCTTGTCACCTCTGACAGTAACATAGCATGCAATCTTCTCATTACGCCTGATGCCAAAGGACCTCACAGTGTATCTAGCTGCCAACCAAGCAAACAACCATATTAGGAAAACAAAACATACACTTCTTCACTCAAGGTATGATAAGCTCCAAATATATTATCCACATAACATATTCAGAATTGAATTTATTGGGAAAAGTGAAACCTAGGATAACCCTGCTACATATGTCAAAGTAACTCAATATTCAGAAGATCCAGAATTTCGAGATCAGTTAACTAGATTGACTCTATTCGTTACTAAAGAAAAAGGATTAACAGTAATGATAACTCCTATATAAAATCAACAAAGACCATATCCAGTGCATGTGTTAATATAGCACCTATGCAATTTTGCCTCTCAAGTACATTACATGGGGATCAGGGGAATCAATTAATCAACAACAAAAGAACAGCACGAATTGTATGTTTAGGCATGTATGACCTCCAAACTTTTAACAATCGAATGAGGCTAAACTCCTCCGGCAAAGCCCATGACATAAAAACCTTAGGCTAAAAGATGAGCCACTTGACCATTACTCAAATCATATTCATCTACAAAATCCATTTCAATCCTAATGAATACTAATATTCCCAACATCTTTTTTTCCCTCTTTTTACTGTTTCATTATCGCACTTCAAAGAACGAGAATTAGAGTTGAGAAAAATGTACAAAAAAAAAAAGATAAGATAATACGAGTTGAGCAGGCAACTCACCCTTGGAGAAAACAGGGGATTGGCCACTGAGTTGCTCCAACACCTATATTGATTAGAAAAAGAAAAGGCTTAAACTTTCTACTCCATTTCAGTACATAACAAGAAATTCGCACCCAAAACAAAAAGTGAACAAAATCACATTAAGCAGGTGACAAGCGAGGTACAGAGAGATTGAGAGTTGCGACTCGGTACCTTAGCAGCTCTGGTGAGACGATCTCCACTCTCGCCCACGGAGATGTTGAGAACCAGCTTCTGAACCTTGATCTCCCTCATGGGGTTGTTCAATTTCTTCTCTGACGCCTAACGATACAAACAGAAAACACACATTAATCACACATACAAACACAAAATCACACACAAGATGAAGAGATGGAGTCAGAGAGAGGCGGACCATGGTGGTGCGGCGAGGGAGGCAGCTGAGGTGTGTAGGGTTTAGAAAAAAATGGGTAAAGCGCTAAGAGAATGAAAGAAACCCTAGTTTATCTCACCGCTATATAACGCAAGACTGAGGCTGTTAATAGGGTCGGGCTAATCCGACCTCGACCCATTAAAACCAAAAAGGGGTCGAGCTTATCACATATTTCTGAGCTAGGCAGAGTTTGGATTTAATAAGCTCGGTCATACTGAAGCCCGGCCAATTATTTTATATACGTGTGTGTGTTTGTGTGCATATATATAACTATAAATGTATTATTTTTAAACATGTAATGTGTAATTGAACCATTAGCAATTAGTCTTGGTTTTGAAGAGACATTGATTTATTAAATAAATATATTTAAAGAGAAAAATCTATTAGTAGTCTATTGACTAATGACTATTACTATTTATAGGTTTTTTCCATGTATTTTAAAAAAAAATTAGACACAATTGTTGTTGGAAAACTTTTGGTTTATGTACTTTTAATGAACTTTTTACTAATTTATGTGTAGTTTTAATATTGTAGATTGCAAATTAACTTTACTACTTAATAGTTATAATAATTATATTAAGAAAAATAATGGGTAATAAATGAGTTTAAGCTATTTGAGATTTTTTTTACTGTAACACTTTTTGTGATGTGATATCTATGAGATAAAAAGGTAACTGAAAAGATAAAAAAATGTATTAAAAATTGTAATGATGATGTAAGCAAATATATTTGGAAAAATAATCAGCTGTCCAAACAAACCCTTCGAATTATACTCAAAGTTGGAATATATTGTGAGTCAAGTATAATTCTCATATACATTAGTTCAAAATTCATAGTCCAAAACTAACTAGATGAGTTGAACCTAAATTTGTTAAAAATTGACCCGATTCGATTGATAGCTCTAAGTAAGACGATTGTAATGACACCTACTTGTGCTTTCCCATTCCTAAGCAAGATGGTTGAGTTGAACTGAGTTTGTGAAACAATAACCTAATTGACAGCCCTAAGTAAGATGGTCGTGAGGGCATGTATTTGCCTTTTCCCCATCTTACCCTCCTTCAGTGTAAATTGACGTACTTATCCTTGAAGCAAGGGTACTGTCTCAGTGGTGTATATTTCAGCTCTAATGTTTGAGTGTTCTTTGTGCATAATTGCATTTCAAAAGTTGTGACAAATTTTCACACCCATGGGGAAACATCAATCCATTTGATTATTTTTTAATAAAGGATGGTCTCAAAAAACGTCTTAGGCTGTATACAAATCTTTTTTCTATTTTCATGCAAAACTAATTATTAAAATATTAAAATAATTTGAATTTTGCAGTGTGTTTATTTGTAATACAATTTAATAATGCTGATCATGTATGAAACAAAAGTTAATGGCAAATAATTGTAAATCAATTATGGTAAACAGTAACCAATCCTCCGTTGCCCACTTAGTTTCTTCCTGGGCATCGGTTAGGGGATTAATCCCTCTGACTACATTTCCTCTCCAAAACTTTTTGATGCACGGTCAAAGGTTATTTAATTCTTTTCGAACTGCTCAATAAATTAGATAGGTTCATTCGCTTCTTCTTTTCTCCTTCCTCTAGTGTAGGATTAATCGTAACAATTCCTTTTCCCCTAACATTGGATCAATTGTAACAAACATTGTATTCAAAAAAAATTTTGTGGTAAACAATTAGATTCATTTATTATTGATCCCTTTTCCTGTAGGGTTGCAAACGAATCGAGTCGCCCGCGAGCCGCTCGAATCAAGCTCGAGTCGAGCTCGAACTGGCTCCAGTCGAAATCGAGCTCGAACTCGAGTTCAAAATATTAAGCTCGTTAGCTCGCGAGATTGAGTATATATATAATATTTTTTATTTTTTTATTTTAAGTGTATATATATATATTTTTTTTATTTTCTTATTTTAATAGTAAAATTACATATATGTTCTTAATATTTTATTATTTATTAAGAAAAAAATATTATTTTATTTATTTTTTAAAAAATAAAATAATTATTTTTATTTTTTTCGAGCTCGAGCTTTAAATTGCCGGCTCGTCGAGTTTGGTAAAATTTAGTCGAGACTCGGCTCGATTAGTCCAAAACTCGATTCGACTCTGCTTGTTTGCAACCTTTTCCCTTCTACTAGGACTTATCTCATGTTCGATTGATTTTTATTTTTGGGGCATAAAAACAGACTTATAAGTTGGTCGCGTGCAAACAATTCAAAATAAATCTCACGAGGAGAGGTTTGAGTTTAGATGGATTAAAATATAATAAAATTACTTAATTCACACTAAAATATATATGCCCAAGTCCCAACTTTGAGTTTCTGGCACATTTGAATGAGAATGTTAATATGGCTATTGAAATTACTTCATTCCCCAAGTTTACAAATCCAATCTTAAAATGAGTAATTTGGAGGGCTTATTCTTTTTGAATGTGACCGAGTTTACTAATCGAATCGTGGCCCATTACATGACAGAAGAAATGCAAGAAAAAGCCTTTCCACCTCAAATCAGAAGCCCAATTAGCAATCTGCAGGCTTTTGTGGTCAATTCTTGCTGCATTTCTTTCAAAATCTAAAAATCACTGCTTTTGTGTCTTCGAGTACTAGATGACTTCACCATCAACCAAAGCTCGGGTTTTTCTGCCAGCCTGCGAGCCCTTAAATCTTTCCTTAAACCCTTGACCTTAAAGATTATACACAAGAAGTTCCCGAGTCATGGGAACAAGGGAAGAACGAAAAGGGCTCTGTGAATCTGCAATAAAAACCCATTCACGAGATTTGTTTGCTTGTAGATTTTTGGCATATGTGAAAGCTGGTGTTCTTGCAGAAATCTTCAGCTTAGATAACTCATTCTAGGTAAGTAGGAGCTGCTTTCTTAATCATTTATTGATCTATTTGCTTTAGTTTCTCTTGTGGTTTTGGTGCCAGTATGTTTTTGGGATGAATTTTCTAATGACGTGTTGAACATTTCATCTGCTTGAACCAGTGCGTATCCGAAAATTTTTACTGTTCGTTTTTCATTCTGTCAAATCATTTAGTAAATGAGATGTAAAGAAAAAGGGGTTAGGGTGTCTCAAATCCCAAAGATTGCAATTTGCCAATTTTGTTCAAATAAGCAAATTTTTTTCCCGTTAACATCTGAGTTCTGGATTAGCTAAAAGAATGTGCTCCACTATTTGCTTTAGATAAACTGTGTGGTAATATAAAGTTAAGCTCAGGAGTGCTTATAGTAGTGATAAAGCTTGTTCCTTGCAGGCCTCGGGGTTCCTATGATGGATGAGTTGTAAAGAATGTTCAAGATATTATCAACCACGTCATTAAACATATGTATTGCTTCACTTTGTAGAGTTAAAAATTTGAAGAATGCCGAAGCAGTTTTGATAGATGGTATTAGAGTTGGAATACTACCTGATGTGGTTACATACAATACACTGATTGATGGATACTGTCGTCTATTTGGCATTGATTCTGGTTATTCAGTTCTTGGTAGAATGATGGAAGCCGGGATACACCCGAATGTCATTACATACAACACTTTGTTGTCTTGTGCAAGTAGATATAGGTTGTTGTACCAATCTCTTGATATATTTGATGAAATGCTTCAAGTGGGCATTCTTCCTGATGTTTGGAGTTACAATATATTGATGCATTGCTTTTTCAAGGTGGGGAAACCAGATGAGGCTTACAGGGTTTTTAAAGATATATTTTTGAGGAATATTTATCCTTCTCCAGCCACATTTAATATCATGTTCACTGGACTTTGCAAGAATTGGTATACGGATAATGCTCTTATGTTACTTCGGAATTTGCAGCGTAATGGATTTAGACCTGAGTTGGTAACTTATAACATTCTTATTGATGGGCTATGTAAGTCGGGAAAGTGGAGGACGGTGAAAGGGCTTCTGAAGGAAATATTGGATTATGGCCATATTCCAAATGCCATAACTTACACTACGGTTATGAAATGTTGCTTCAAAAATAAAATGTTCAATGAAGGGCTTGAGATTTTTTCAGAAATGAAGGCGAAAGGATATACTTTCGATGGCTTTGCTTACTGCACGGTCGCTGGTGCTTTACTTAGAACTGGTAGAATAGAAGAGGCAAATCAATGCATGGGAAACATGTTTAGAAGTGGTATTGATCTTGACATGGTGTGTTATAATACCCTAATTAATTTGTATTGCAAGGAAGGTAAGTTGGAAGATGCCTTTGGGTTGTTGGATGAGGTAGAAAAGATGGGATTGGAATGTGACATTTACACCCACACTATTTTGATTGATGGGTTGTGCAAAGCAGGTAATATACAGGGTGCCCAGCGACATTTAAAGTACTTGAATAAGGTGGGCTTTGGGACAAATTTGGTTGCTTTTAATAGTTTTATTGATGGATTGTGTAAACTTGGTCAGATTGAGTATGCAATGCAGGTGTTCGAATCCATGAAAGTGAAGGATGAGTTTACTTATTCCTCCATTGTGCAAGGACTTTGCAGTGCTGGAAGATTTCATTTGGCTGCTAGGCTACTCCTATGCTGTGTTAGAAGTGGAGTGAGAATTTTAAGGTCTGATAAAAAGGCTGTTATTCGTGGTCTTCGTTTTACAGGCTTTGGTCCTCAAGCTAAGAAGGTCCAGTCAAATATTCGCTTGGCCAAGTTACTGCACTATTGATGTGTTATGGAGACAAAAATTTTGTATCTGCAAAAGAGATTATTCCTGTGCTGGCTGGAAATTCGGGGTTCATACTTTTTATGAAAGTGAACCAACAGTCCACCTTGTAATTTATTTGAAATGACTACTCTACTTATGAGTTATGACCAGCAGATTGACATTATGGTACAGAGAAGCAATTTCCTTCACCATCCTTATTGCTTAAAGAGAGAAGCAATTTTGTTCACCATGCTAACAAAGTTAAAGGCCTGACGAGAGTTGGAAGCTGGACAACTATTTTCTCTGAAATTGTGGACAACTTGCTCAATGTTGTTGAGCAACTGAAGGCAATTAAAGTTGACTAATTTAGCATCAAAAGACAATATCATGGTTCGGAAATAAAAACAATTGCATTTTGGGATCTGTCACTTTCTGGGAAATTAAAGAAAGGTATTGACCTAACTTCCAACAATTGAGCACACTGATGTTAGTGAAATTTCTGGATGATTTCCTTCTATAGCATGCCTACTGGACATTTTTACAAATTGAAAAATTTTCCTTACTTGAACATGGACTGATATTCTGTTGTCATCTGAGAACTCAGATGAGAAGCCTCAACTATAATTTTCTTCTTGCTGAGAATTAAGACCAGCATTGACATAGACAAGTGCTGAATAGAATAATTTTGGTACTTTGATTATTCTATAAGCTATGTTAGGTGTAATTGGAAGTTGATCATCTTTATGCTTAATGGAAGTTTACAAAATGTTAGTATTATCTGGTGGGTAGGTATAATTGATGGAATTTTCTTCTAGAATATCAATTGCACATAATTTTTCTAACCAATTGTTTATGCTGCCTATTGTAGGAAAACAATTGAAGTAAGCTGGCATTGTTAATACTGGATTTTGTATATCCTTCAGGCTAACACATATGCTGAAAAGGGTGTAACAGCTCAAAACTGTTGTCACATATTTTCTGTCATGGATACTGGTGCCACTCAAAACTTATTGCACTCTTAAGATATGTTCTCCTTTTGGTATGGTAAGTTTCATGTAGCTTCGCAGGGTAGTTACCTCAAGTTTCTTGAGATAGCTGCTTCTAATCTAAGAGGATTCAAGAGAATGTAATATGAGAATATTTCAGTGTGTTGCATTGCAAATTCAGATACTGCTGTAGATTATTTTACACTGAATGTTCTTTTAGATAGATTAGTACAGCAGCAAAGGCTTACTACTAGTCTTTGTTGCTGAATTAGTTTTTGGGCACTTATGATATTTCTTGTTATGATACAATCCTCTTACCTGATTTTGGTTTGCAATTGATGTTCCGCAACCTTGAAGAGACAATTGGGTTGGGAAATTGATGAAATTTTTTGATCTTCTCAAGTAACTGTCGCCATACTAGAGAAAATGATACTCTTATTTTTTTTTCAGTTTCGAAAAATTGAGAGTTCATTTTCTGTTTCTGTTGACCTGCAACTTATGTTTGTTTATAATGTACTTGCTTTCATTCTTTCCTATTCAATTAGACTCTAGATTACCAGATGACACCTTCAAAACTTTCTTTGGATAACCAGTTCATTTTAATTTAGTTCTTTCATGTCTCATATTTCATCTATTCTTTTTTTTTAGGGTTCATATTCTCAAGGGGCTGGCTCTAAACTGAACACGGACTGTTTTAGCGCGGCTCTCCATTTTTGTCACTGAAATCGGGTTCTAGGTTCATTTCTCATATGTGATCTCAGTGGCACAATGCAGTAATGGCCTTGATAATTATCGAAGGTTAAACAAGGAAAAGGATCCGAAGAATGGTTTTAGCCATCAAGGAAGTACTGATGTGTCAATGTTCTGCATCCAAAATGCACATGTCAACATGTAATGATACACAATCTGTGCATATAACATTTGCCTTGCAGTAGAAACTTTGGTAGGGAATCGCAAGTCAGAATGCAAAACTGTACTTGTCCATGAAATTGATGGTTTTTTTGTCCTTTGATTGGGATTATTTCCTAAATGAAACAAAACAAGGAAATCCAGTGTTGCTCGTTATTGAGAAAACAAGTGGCAAGAGAACATTCAGCATTTTGTTGGGTGATTTTTGATCAAGCATTGGCCTAAGCTGAGCCCTTAAACTTTACAGATTTCGACAAAGGGTACGAATTCCTTTCTGGAAATTAATGACTCAAACACGAGATATCTATACTTAGAACATTCTGGCTCTCAAGAACGTTGAGATTATGAAGCCAACTACCAAACATGCTAGAAGAAAGTTACAGAACTGTTTACATCTCCTTGGACTCTCTCTTGGGGAATCATATCCAGCGACTGCCATCGGTCTTATTTCATGGTAATCTCTTATGTATATACTGATATCCTTAATTAATCGAACATTCTTTGCTGTGTTGTTACAAATTTCACACAATCTGCAGGACAAGTGAAACACCAGAATGAATCTTTTATTCAAACAGAAGAATATGACGATAGAACTTCAACATGGAAATGATCTGGGACGAAGGCTAACCTGTTTCCTCTCTGCTGAAACCATGTTTCAGCACAAGAACGATGCGAGATCCCAAGTTCTCCTCTACAATGGCAACCGAGCTGAATGAGTTCTGAGCTCCCTGATGATGATGGTTCGTTCCCCAAATGACATATTCTACAAATCTGTTCTGCTCTCAAATGCTCTTCATCAATCTTCACATCATCCGCATGAGAACCAGTCTCTTCTTTTGGCCGTTTATCTTCTCGTCCTTCCCCCAATGATGTCCCTTCTGGGCTTCCCGAATCATTTGTACTCAGCATTCTTGAATCATCATTAGCATCTTCAACCCTTGGCTCCACTCCTGCGGTGCTTGCTTCGACTCCAATGTTGACTGAAGATTTTGGAAAGCAGTTCTGTGTACTTTGTGCATGATCAACTAATTCAGGTGGCTCCATTGAAAATTAATTTTAGTGATCCAAATTTTTGTTGTTATTTTGGTGTATACAATGCCACATAGTTTATCAAACAAATAAAACTGAGTTGCGTAGGTAACGGAAAGCCTTACCAGAAAGATCTTTGAAGGATAGGAAAAGAGTCAGAATCTAATCTTTTCTATAATCACACAACATAACAAAACAATATGCTTTACTTGGAATCCTAGTTTTTGTGTGCCGACACGTTAAGGAAACCTGGGAAGTTGTCCTTGAGACTTGGGCCTTGTATTAACACATACACACACAAAATGTGGTCTTTTGGGTAAAAAATTTTGGGTAAAAAACAAAAAAGCCATGTGTGTTAAATTTAATATACGGGAAAGCTTCTCTTAGTTTTAAAACTTATAATACGATACCTCATATTTTGAACGAAATTGTAAAGGTGATGGAATCCGTTAAAATTAACAAGTGCGGACGAAATGACAAACCCTGATATAACTAAGCAAAAGGCATTTCAACAAAATCATTTGTTTTATTCTTTGGAGAAAGAAAATTGGGGGTTAAGGGGTAGAACAGGTATATTTGTGAAAAATTTAGTTTAAAATATGAGGTGTCGTTTTGTACGTTTTGAAATCGCAAGAGACTTTTCTGCATATTAAGTTTACCACAAATGCTTTTTTGTTTTTTACCTTTTTTTTTAATGGTACTAGTGCAACTGGTCTTTGCATTCTCCTGAAACAACTATCAAGAAAATCAGCAAACATTTGTAAATTGGAGTGGTTTAACTGGAAATTCTATAAGCCTGCCCTTAGATTTTATTAGTACAAGTTATTTGCTAGTTACTAATCATCCATTTTCAGAAGTATGTGTTAAAGGTTTTCATTGGCCAATGAGTTCTTGTGTAACATTTACTGCAAACACACTATCTGTAAAAAACTAAAACGAAAGTCAACCTAATACAGCAACTTTCTTGGACTCTCAACAGGCTAAATTTCTTTTCTTTAAAAAAAATTACATTTTTCAATTGTACGGAGAAAATGCATTTTTACTCTTTTTTTTGTAATAAGAAGACTGTTTGTGTTTAATCGGATAAATATAATTTGAAATTGACTCTATTTATCCGATTAACCGAAGCAGTTTGCGGTTAGAAAAAAAAAAAAACAAAAACAACTTTTGACCCCCAAAAAAAATTCAGATAAGTCCACATGGGACAAATCCAGTTACGTCATCTAATTACAGCGTCCACTTTTTACGAGGCACCTGCTGACATAAAAAAAGCTTACTTAGCCAAGTCGTTCACTCCCACTGCACAGTACACCCTAGACTAGAGTAGGTATATATACCAATATTCTCACGCACTTCTCCTCGATTTCTTCACCTTCTCTGCGTGTTTCTGCTTCTCTTGTGCAAAATCTGCGATATGGCGTTCCGGAGGATCATTTTGGGCCAAGTTGGTCGTGTCGGAGAGCGATCGATGTCGTCGTGGTGGCGAAATGTCCAGCCAGCTGCTAAGGATCCGATTCTCGGAGTAACCGAAGCTTTCCTCGCTGATCCGAGTCCGGATAAAGTGAACGTCGGAGTTGTAAGTTTGCTCCCTGGAAAAAGGAGGAAATGAAGAAAAAAACTCTCCTTTGTCTGAGAAATGATAAGAACGTGACGGCAGTTTCTGCTGTGTTTGTTTCAATTTTATGAATTTCCTTTTTTTTTGTTGTCTGATATCGAACAGTAAATTTTTTATTTATTTATTTTTTTTTATGATTTGGCTCCGTTTGGTTCAAGTTGGTCCAAGTTCGAGGTTGCTCGGATTTCAGCTGAATTTTGGCCTTTTTATGATTTTTTAAGTTATTCAACAATTTTTTCTTTTGGTTCAATTTTTTGAATTTATTGTAGAATAGTAGTTCTTGTATTTAGCTGCATGTTTTATGTCGATGTTTTCTGAGAATTTCAGCTGAATTTTGACTTTTTTTTTCTTATCGTTCTTGGATTGAAATTTTGATTTTGAATTTTTTGTTGTTGAAGGGAGCTTATCGCGACGATAATGGAAAGCCGGTGGTGTTGGAGTGCGTGCGGGAGGCAGAACGGAGAATTGCGGGTAATCTCAGCATGTGAGTACTGTAAAATTGTAAGAGTAGTGCGTGTTATTTATATCTGGTACAATTTCCGGAGCTTGAAGTAAAATTTGGTAAAAGAGCACTAATTAAGTTAAAAGAATTTCTAATCTATTTATATGTAGTTTTGGTAAATATGTTTTCATTTGCTTAATGTGAATGCTAAATCATCTCGGCTGAATATTTAGTAATTTCCTAAACTCAAACAGTGTTTTTTCTTTTTTCTGCAAGTGACAATCTTTGTGTTACTTACAATAATATCGCTATTAGTATTCCAAATAAAAGACTTGATTTTTTTTTCCGGTGACAAGGTTATACTTGGTTCCCATAATGAATTTAAGCAATTGACTTTGAATTAAGTTGGAATAAAAATATCAATATTTGAGTAGATAACAACAATGTTATATATATCATGCCTCGACATCATTTTTAATCGTCATTTAAAGCTAACAACTTTTGTTGAATAACTTTCGTACTTTATGAGTTCTATATAGTTACTATGTCTTGGTAGCTAGTGGTCGAGCATGCTGACATTGGTAGGGTCGTAAATTATTTCTATCTTTCATTTTTAAAGTTGCAACTTTGAATTGGTCCAGTATTTTATGGTGGTCCAAATTCCATAAATCTTTTTATCTTTTTATCCTTGCTGGATCCACTTGCAATATGATTCTCCTGGTTTTTTTTAGTGCGTTTTCAGCAAGATATATCCACTTTTCCCTAATTGGAATAGACTCCCTCTTGGAGATTTTTTTATCCAATTACAGTGATGTGAGTTTAGAATCTTGTTCTTGATGGTTGTGTTGGATAGAATGGGTGAAGTTGCAAATGAGAATTGGAAAGAAGGAAGAATATAATTATTTGGTGAAACATCAAAGGGGAAACAAAAAAGGTAAACAAACTTCTATAACAGTCAATTTCAGTTACATGTGAATTATTAAGGATATTTTCCAAATGATTTGCATCGCTGGATAGGTTTTCCTTGATGTTCTTATAGTTCTTTATCCTCTATTTGGGGCAATAGACCAAGCATTGGTTGATTGATAAATACGTCGGACAGAACAATATATTTAGTGCTTTACAATCTTTTTTCTTAGTTGCCTGGTCTTCCAAGTTAATAGCTTTCCTTCGAAAAAGCTCTTTGGGGCCTTTTTTGACAATATTAAAGCTAGAATTATTCAAATGAGCAATCCTCTAATATCTGTATGAGATAAACAGGGAATCTGCTAATGAGTAGAATTTCCAACTTCCAACAGTATTTCTATGCTCTATCTATCCACTTATTCTGCTCTATTAATTTATACACTTGTGTAATTAGTGCTGTGAAAGTCCTCACAATTCAAGTGTCAAGAATGCTATGAGGCACACAATGAATTTCATCTTAGTCTTGCACAATCATCCTTTAGCCTCATTTGGTTGAAGGGGAAATGACTATTCTAGCTTTTCAGGGAGTATCTTCCAATGGGAGGAAGTGCAAAAATGGTCGAGGAAACACTAAGATTGGCTTACGGGGAGAATTCTGACTTGATTAAGGATAAGAGAATTGCAGCAATACAATCTCTATCTGGGACTGGTGCATGCCGAATTTTTGCAGAGTTTCAAAGGCGTTTTTGTCCAGATTCACAAATTTACATTCCGGTCCCTACCTGGGCCAAGTAAGTGCTGAAGTAGTTGTCCTCTTAACAGATTGGTGGCATTTCATTTGTGCTTTATGATTACTCAATTGAATACTTAGGTAGTTATTCAGGATTTTGCTGCTTTTCTTAGTGTTCTTTTCAAGATAATAGTCTGAGGTTTTGGCAGTCATCATAACATCTGGAGAGACGCCCATGTCCCTCAAAGAACTTTCCACTATTATCATCCAGAGTCAAGGGGATTGGACTTTGCTTCAATGATGGATGACATAAAGGTACTTAGCAAAAGGTTGCCTCTTTTGAGTAGTTTGTGTTATGGATAGATTCTTTGTCATCAAAATGTTGTTCCTATCCTCAGCATGCGGGTATTGTTGTCATACTCTTCTTTTCTTGCACAGAGTGCTCCAAATGGATCATTTTTCCTGCTTCATGCTTGTGCTCATAATCCTACCGGAGTGGATCCTTCGGAAGAACAATGGAGGGAGATTTCATACCAGTTCAAGGTCATTGATATGTAACTAATGATTTTTTTTCTTGTCCTTTTATCGTCATGTTTCTCTTGTTAAAGAGCCATATATCTGTTTTCAGGTCAAAGGACATTTTCCCTTCTTTGACATGGCATATCAAGGTTTTGCGAGTGGTGATCCAGAGAGGGATGCTAAGTCTATCAGGATCTTTCTTGAGGATGGTCATCTAATTGGATGTGCGCAATCATATGCAAAAAATATGGGACTTTATGGCCAGAGAGTTGGCTGCCTGAGGTGAATTAGAAATTTAATTTGGCTCTGACTTTTTGATGATTATATTTTCTTTTTCTTTAGCCCTATTGACTGATATGGCTTTGTCCTTTCAGTGAAGGGCTTAATTCTTTAATATCTCATGATTTTCTAACCAATTTTAGGAAGGAATTGGGTTATATGATTAGCTTCTCAGATTGGCCATTTTTACAATCAGGAACTGAATTACAAAACCTTTTACCAGACTTCATTGAAGAAGGTGAAACAAATAGGATTCATTTAAGAAGGATCTGTTTGTACTGCAAAATCTTTTGAAGCATTTGATACCTTGATTTTCAAGCTTCGTGTCACGGTTAGAAAGCATTCTACAGTAAAGCAATATTCTGGCATTCTCTTCCGTACCCAGTTTTATGGGCTAACAATGCAAACCTGGAGCATTCTCTTTCCTGTTAAAAATCCAGCATTCTTGTATATTTGCTACTGAATGATCTGTCTGGACATGAAAAATATTACAGAAACTCCATTTTTTTTTAACGATTTTCTGTGCCTGCTTTTCTGTTGACTGCAGCGTGGTTTGTGAGGATGAAAAGCCAAAAGCCAGTTGCACAGCTTGCCAGACCCATGGTGCCCTGATTGTTTCTACCGTTCTTGGTGATCCAAACTTGAAGAAGTTGTGGCTTAAGGAAGTAAAGGTAAGTAATCCACCTACTCATGGTGCCCTGATTGTTTCTACCGTTCTTGGTGATCCAAACTTGAAGAAGTTGTGGCTTAAGGAAGTAAAGGTAAGTTTCTGCAAAATTTATAATTTTTGCCAAGTGTTGGCTAATGTTGGCATTTTGAATAGAGGATAATCCTATTCAAGTCCAAAAATAAGAAGAAAAAAATAATTTCTTTCTGGAGTACTTTGGATGGGTCAATGAAAAGTCTCATAAGTCAAAAGAATTTGGCTTGAAGCCGAGGAGTGCAAGATCATTCTCATTTTAGGAATTGGAAGAAGACACAATCAATATTTTTTCTCTTTCAAGTTATAATCGTCCTTCTATGTTAGTGGAGGAGGTCGGCAGTTGGTCAAAGGAGTTTAAGTGTTCTAAATATGTGGATATGCAGGTAACTATTGAGGAAATTTAGTGGATTGATAGTTTAAAGACCTGGGAACATAATCTGTAAATATGCCTATTGCATGAAGAAACAGAGCTAATATTGTTGAGCGAGTAATGATTTTAGATCTTCCCTAAGTTGAAAGTTTGATGTATGGTTGATGTGCTTTTCATTTATTGATTGTCAAATTATTTATAGTTGTTGTGACTATGGTGTTGAAATTCAATAAAATGCCGGACTCCAGGGCATGGCTGATCGTATCATTGGAGCGAGAATAGCATTGAGACAAAATCTCGAAAAGTTGGGGTCATCTCTTTCCTGGAAGCACATAACGAACCAGGTTCATTTATTAAAAGACTTTTTCGCTCTTTTATATGTTATAACTCTGTTACTAATTTACCCCCATTCTCGCACAAAAACAGATTGGCATGTTCTGCTATAGTGGGTTGACACCTGAACAAGTTGACCGCTTAACTAATGAATTCCATATTTACATGACTCGTAATGGTCGTATCAGGTAAAATGTCCTCTCCTCTACTGGATCCTCCTGCTCTGATCGTTTCTATTTTCATTGGCAATGTCATGACTTGTTAATTTATGAGCAACATCCGCAGCATGGCGGGAGTTACCACAGGAAACGTTGGTTACCTGGCTAATGCAATTCATGAGGTGTCCAAGTCTGCTTAGGAACTTGATACTGACGCATGTTTCAGCAATAATCCAAACGGAGGCTTTGGAAGGTTACAGGTTCTTTGTACAATTCAAGAGATTTTGGCTTTTAGGAATTTTTTGAGATTTTCTTCCAACTTTGTGATCCTAACACTAGGATGGACAGACAAGTGAGAAGTCCTCCTTGAAGAGTTGAAGGAAAGCACTGAGGACATAAGCAACAGATATTTGATTTTGAATAAATGCCGGTGCATGTATTCATTTTATACCCCCCCAATTCTGGAACTTTTGGCAGCTAGGAATCATTTGACTGTTGTAATTCAGAGGTCGGATCGAAGGTTATGAACTGTAATTTTTCCATTCATAATCAAAGATGTCACCTTCTCAAAACTCAGCAACTGAAATTGGATGGTGACTGCCATTTATTGTGTTTAGCAGGGTAGGGTGATCTCACCCCCTTTCTTTTTTCACTTGGTGTGTGTGAACTATGAAGAACTTCAATAACTGCCAATTAAGTTTTATTGCGTTTTGGATAAGTGGTATAATGAATGGTTTGAGGACATATTCACAAAATCTTGGGCGTGTGATTTGCAAGGGGGGTTCTAACTACTAGCTGACTTGAGCATCTCTGGTAAGAAAGGGATGGCAAAAGCTCCAATTTATCAAATGGATTGACAGAAAATGTACATGGAGAATGCAGTTAACTGACCAACACATAAAAAAGCTTTTGTAATCTTTAGCAACGACAAAGACTCTTTTAATCTTTAACCATGGCAACGACATATTTCAAGCAAACAGAAAATTGTCTTCAGCAATCGGTAGATTTCTAAAATAAAAAAATCCACACTCAAACAAGGTACACAAATTACCTTTATTATATTAATCCGTGGGGGGCTCACGGGGCGGGGGCGGGGGGAATTTTTCCCCCCCGCTTAGAAACAGGGCGGGGGGCGGGGGTATACTCCCCCGCCCCATCCCCCGCCCCGCCACCTGCAAAAATATATATATATATAAATGACTATATATTATATGTAAGTTAATTAGTTATAAACTTATGATAATGATATTATTAGTTAGATGTATTATATAATGTATATTAGTTTATGTAATATAATTGATATTATCAATTATATGAATAATTATACATGTCTACTAATAGAATTTATTAATTAGTTATACTAAATTTACTAATACATTTATACTAAATTTCTAATTACACTTAATAGAATAACACTTTTTTTCTCAAAAAAAAGCACAAACACAATGATGAATTAGTGATTGCATTTGTACTAAAAGTGAAAATTTGACTATTTTAGTTATATTTATTTTATCATATTGGATTGTATTTAAATAACTTCTGTTTGATTATTTTTATGAGTTTCAATTGTAAAATTATAATGAATAATAATTTGGTGATGTGTTGATATTTTAGTACTTGATTATTTATTAAAATTTAATTATAATAAAATTATATAATAACATTTTATTAACCCCGCAGGGGAAGCGGGGCAAGGCGGGGCGGGGGCAGGGCGGGGCGGGGGGAGCGGGAGGCGGGGGACGGGGCGGGGGACGGAGGGAACTAATAGGCAACGGGGCGGGGGACGGGGGAGGGGTCCCCCGCCCCGTTGCCATCCCTAACCATCATGTCTATGCTTGTTGACTGATTCGTTCCGTGGAATTAATTCCAAGTTCGTGAATTTCTTTGTTCTTTAATAGTTGATTCAATATTTTTGTTATTTCTCTGTGTTCCTCACTTTTCTATATGATTTGGATTGATTTCAATTCTTAACATGCCTTTTGCCTTCATTTGGTGTTATCTAGTTTTTTCTTTTAAATTTTGCAAAACTTTTAACACATTTGTTGCACAATAATCAATCACTTGTACTGATAGTAATTAACCAAAAAAAAAAAAAACACTATCCCATTATTAATTATAGAAGTGGCAAAATGGGCGGGATTAGCTTGGATTTAAAATGAAACCAAATCATATGGGTTTTGGGACTAATTTGGACGGGATCACTTTGAGATGGATTTGGATTGATCTCGCTCAATACCCAAATCTATTTTCTATATTTTTTTCCTTTAATTCTTTTTTATTTTTTATATAACTTTAATATTTTTATTTATTAAATTTTTTTTTATCTTATCGTGAATTTATGTTTTCCTTTGATTCTTGTAGACACCAAAATTTTACCATTTCATTTTATTTTTATTGTTATGTATTTTTTTAAGTTGTTTAAATGAAATCGTTTTCACTTAATTGGTTTTCTTTTGTAGGAAAGTGAAGAAAGGAAAAGAAAGAAAATGGAAGTGAAAAAAAAATCAGATTTTTGCAAAAAAAAAAAAAAAAAAAAAATCGGAGATGAATTTTTGGATAAATGAAATTTTTTGGAAAAATATTTGGACCCAATGAATACCCAAATATTTTCCAACATTTCCCATCAAATAATGGATACAATTGGGATGCATCCCATTTTAAACCCAATATCAAATTATAATACCCATTCCGCCCAAAATCCTTTTGGACATGAGTAACCCATTGAGACTCGAGACAAATTACCACCTCTAATTAATTACTATTCTTCATATAACATTACTTGGGGGAGGACCAAAAAAAAAATAGAAGTTTAGTTTGAGCAAACCGGGCACAGTTTTGTTTTTCGTTCAAGTAAAATGACCTATTTTTTACGGATTGAACCATCAAAATGAAAAATGCCCATAAGATGGAAATCTATAGAAAATGACTATAAGCGTGACCCTATCACGATTGAAATCTCTACTCAACAAAAATGAAAGCCTAATACGGAAGAAAATGAAAATTTTCAATAGCACATGCAAATCTTTATAAGAATCAACTAAAACAGCAAGTAAACAGGTTGCAATGAAAACACGACACTACTATAAGCATCTACTCCTCTCCCATTCCTTCTTCAGGGAATCTGCCTAATTGGACACACATAGCATTACCAATTTAGATCCCTACATTTCTCAAATCTCTTGATCAAAACAATGTACAAAAAGGGTGACACGGTTCTTCTTTGGCTAAGAAGGGTAGACACGATCACCAAATTCAAGGTTAACTTGCAGAGAAACTATATGCAAACACCTTTTAGGGGCGTGAAAAAACGCTGCACTGGTCCAAACACCCCACCTAGATAGGTCACGGAATCATGTTTTTCTTCACATCCATCAATGCCAGCAGGTTATTTGCCATTTCATCTGATTATGTCCCAGAAGGATGCGGACAGTGGCCCGTCGTTTGTCTTCTAACATGCTCTGGTATTAACCGGTTGATCAACTCAGGTGAAGCTCCAGATAACTGCAATTAGAGGCATGGTGAAAATGTATTTTGTTGACAGTAGACAAAACAGAAGTACTCCATTTCCAAATCCTTGCAATTACCAATTCAAGAGTCTTTCATAACATATAACGTTGCAGAATATTACCAAACTTCTGGTCATATAAAGAAAAGGTGTTCGCAACTGAAAGATCCCCAATATATAGAATTTTAGCGCCAACTTCAGGTCCCAATTTAAATTATGAACAGTTTTGCAGTATCTGTTATTATGGACTTAAAACAGATTCTCACACTAGTTCAGCATAACCACCAAACGTAAAGCATCTTCTTCCTTCTGTTTATCTTTCCTTCTCTTGTAGGATTATAACAACCTACGAAGCCTGGCAAAGGCTTATAAAGTAGACTCTCTTTGGCCTTTCTAGTCACAATAAACATAATCAAATAGCACTTTTCCCATCTACAGTTCTCAAGTATCCAGAACTTAATAGATTTCCTTCTCATCACCTTCCTCCCATTTTCCTTCTCTAGACGGGTAGCCACATGGATCAGGATGGACACTAATTTCAGACTGAAAATCCATATCTCAGTTTGAACCAAATATTGTTGGCGAATCAAACAACCACCAGAAAAGTACGGTGCCAACACCTTTTATTATTTTATGATACATATCCTTTCCTTTTCTAGAAAGAGCGCAGGAGGAAAAAGAAAGGCAGCAAATGAAAAATGGTGGGGTGAGAATTGAAATTCCCTCTAGGATGAGGAAAGAAGACCCTTAATCTCTAGGTCTTATTTGAGTCTGTTGCTAGCTTTTAGGCTTTCATTGCTTTTGCTTCATCTTTATCGACTCATTAATTTTGCTCATAACTGTTATTCAAATGAATCATAAATAGCTAGGATGCTTATATGAAAAACTACAGAATTCGAACAACCAGAGAAGAGATGCAGTAAAAGAATTCCAGTTAGTAGCATTGTACAGAAAAAGGTGGTTAGGAATCATACTTCCTGTTTAAAGTCGAAAAGTGTTGGCAGAGGCCGATTATTTGGGAGGCGGACATGCGGGTCACGAAGATCATCAAAGAAAGGATGAGCACAGGCTTCTAACTGCAGGAACACAGAAAAATTATTTCATGGATTTGCAGAATAATCCCATGGTCGAGAAAGAGAAACCCCGTGATCGAAAAAGGAAAAGTAAAAGCACCAGTAACATCATTTGTAGTTATATTGCATGGAATGTCCTGCGGTATTACATAACCTTAGCATCTCTAAATTTTACAAGATGAAATCAACTAAACTTACAGCAGTACAGCGGAGACTTGGTGAATATTGAAGGAGCCGAGATGTAAGATCAATTGCTTCAGGAGGCATCCTTTTGTGGAAAACCTGTTCCACGAAAGCTTGTTATCCACTGCAAGACTTTACCTGATTACCCAGATTCTAAGGAGACCAACATTTCACCAGGTCAAAGTACAAAATTGCCATACCTTGTGCCAAGGATGAGCTTTAATTTGAGGAAACCTAAAATCAGTGTAATTTGGATTCATACAACGAATTTCTTCCCGAGTTGGAGTACCAAGGACCTAACAGAGAGTCCAAATTAGCACAACTAATCTTGTAAAAATTTTATCTACACATAAAAAAATGAGCGTAGATGATAGAACATACTTTGATAATCTCTACAAGTTGATCCACAGCATTTTCTCCAGGAAACAATGGCTATAATAGTGGAATATATTTAGTTAGGGGATCGAAATACTAGATGTAATACAAAGCTTTTTGGAAAAGGACAATAACTAACAAAAACTAGAATGATATCCACATAACAGACCTGACCCAAAAGAAGCTCAGCAAGGACACAGCCAGCTGACCAAATATCAATTGACGTTGTATATTCTGTTGCCCCAAATATCAGCTCAGGTGCCCGATAGTACCGAGAGCAAATATAAGATATATTAGCTTCCCCCCTGATCTGGTCACATCAAATTTTGGGCAAATTAATAGAGGTATTGAGAAGAAACTTTGCACAACTAGCAATTCCAAATCAAAGCTCTAATGATCTTGCATCACATGAGATCAGGCTGTAGTCCTTTCTCAAAAGGTGAAAACCCAACTAATGTATGAAAGAGCAAATTGTAAAACAAATACAAAAATGAAATATAGCTCAACATGTCTCGT